GTGTTGTTCGTAGCAATATAAGATAATTGATGCTCACTGGATCGTTGTTTTGTTGCGTCTTGTGAAAGGGCACACATTGAGTTATGTGACTTTCAAGCCGTAACTGTTATTGTTGATTAGCTCATAGATTAGTTCTCATGTTTCGTAGCCAATCATCACCAGTCAATCAAGTTTGATCGCTGATACTCGGTTAGATGGCCAAATATGTGCTAAGATGCTCACTGACGACTGAGAACGCAATTGAATGTTGCCAGCCGCAATCCATAAAAACAACTGCTTTAGGGATTCGACTGTTTCAAAAACGCACGACAACAACGCTGAACGAAATTGAGGAAAATAATGGTTTGAGAGGCAGACAGTGTTGTGGGGCACAATTCGCGACTGTTCACGATTGCTCTCGAGAAAAAGAAGAAAAATTACGGCAGCTTCGTGATAAGGCGACGGACGGTCATTTTTAATTAAGAAGAGCACGCTTGCCTGCGGCGAGCCATGCTCTTGTATTATTTCGCAAGTGCGGTTAAATCTATACAATTCCATGTGGACGATGATATCATTGATAAACTTAATTACTACTATACAACGTCAATTATTACAGGTATGATTTCAATTACTATCGTTGTCGTTATTATCATATTATGATTGTCTGCAGCACTACTATTATTATCAGTATTACTGTTATTATTCATTTTAAGGGAGGGATAGTTTTTGTTGTTGTTACAATGATAATTTAATAAGTTATCTCAATTGGTTCAACAGAAAAGTCTGGAGCGAATTTAATTTGTTTCACTACAATCGTCTAAAATTGAAAATCCGAAAACGCAAAAAGCATCTGACGACGTCAAACATCGCATAAATATCGTTTAAACATCCATTCGTGTGAAAATCATTCGAATACTGAATCGATTCACGTTAAATTCGGATGAGCATCAATCATACAATAAATGCGTTTCTACATTTGTGTAGAATGCATATCATGAAGTTTCATTATCCTTATGCATATATAACACTAGAGCGTTGTTCAGTCTTTTGGGTCTTCTAATTGTGTTAAATTGTTTTCTTTCCAACCGAAGGAAACAAGACGAACGAAAATTGTTTTCTTTGAACGAATGCGGTGAATAAATGGAATTTCGCTCAACTGAAATCGCTCATATACGAAAAATTGCTTTAAAAAACAGGCATTTTTGCGGAAATGATCATTTAAACAAACGATAAAACCATTCAAATTGCGCGCTTAGGTACCTGTGGTGAAGAAAATACTAACTGTGATGAGAAGTCTGAGTTTATGAGTGTTGTATATATGATGTAATAGGCAATAATTTGAATGACCATCAGACAAGATTCAACAAACGCGCATGAATGCATGATGATAAATTCCTGCATCAAACAAAGATGTCTATCCCATATGAATAAATTCTAAACGAAATGAGTACGAAACAATTAGCGTTGAATAGTTTGGACAGTTTCTATTTGAATTCAAATCGTCAATTATACTAAAATGTATAGGCGTAGGCGTATCGTTACTTTGTCGACTCATTGCGCTTGACACTGTTGCTTCATTCTGCAATAATTAATGCACCGAATGAGGAATTTTTTGATCGAAAATGCGTCTCATTTTACTTGCTCGATTATCTTGAAGGTTCAACGTGAATACTTCTCACTGATTGTTAGTTCATCGTTGGAATGGCTCCCTGCTAACTACTGCTGATCAGATCCTTCAAAATGATCAGTTTTCTCGAAGAAATCAACAGATATGAAAGCAGAAAAAATCGATTAATTAATGAACAAGTTAATTAATTCGACAATACTGATCTTATTTGTCATGATTAGATGATTTGAAATGTTGTCCTGTAAAGCAGAGCGTTAAACAAATTTTTAACGGCGCCTCTTATATTAATATCCTCTTGTTGCTGTAGTTGCTCAGTTGTCATTGTTCTTAAATTTTTTAATCGTTCCTTTCCTGAACTTTGAATTTTGCTTGTGTTTGTTTGTAATTTACTGTGCACGGACTGTTTCAGGACGGAATGACCTGATTTATGTGAGTTGATACGATGTGATATAATTTGATAGTGATAGCGTCGTTTCATTTCAGACTTCCTTACTTTCTACATTCTTTTGCATATTGAATCTATAATTGGTAATAGGCGCTTCCTCCCACACTTCATCATCCATTTACGACCCTTTCAACATTTCCATTTTTCATCATACATAACCGGAAAAGAATTCATTTATTTATCTCGAAATTCGATTATGCAAACAATAAGTTGTTATGGATATCATTCATGAGCAGCTGTTGCATAAGCAGCAGCACTTCGTGCTACTCTCTTCGTACTACGAGCAAGCCAACAATTTTGATGCGGGTCATTTTTACGCAAGCTTGTTATTCATTTGAAATTGTAATCACATTCGATGAAAACACGTAATTTCTTAGTTTATCTCTATTACTGCAGAAACAAATTGAACCGCACAGATAGTTTGATAGATAGATGGATAAGGTTATTGGGTAATGATAGTGAAATTGTTGATAATTATGCTGCTCGATTTTTGGTTCTGTTCAGGCAGCTTCACATCCTACAATTAAATAAGAATGTTCAACAATAAAAGTGCTCTATTAAAGTGAACAATGAACGGTGTTCCAGTTTTGTACTGTTCAAAATTAACTGGTATAAATGCTCTTTTGAAATAACCAGTACATTTGAAATAAAATATTCACTTGCTGGCTCCATCGACTTCCCGAGCAATATGACCAGAGGTAGCGGTGGCTGCACTGACGATATGAGCACTAAATCTATCCATCAATTAAATTCATCCATTCATCCATCCATCTTACGATTTCTATTCCAAACAATCATTACACAATCGTTTTATTCATTTCTTGTAGCTGGTAGCTGTTTCACTGTCTGCTTGTTTCTTATTATTTCTCTCTTCGAGAACGCTCACTCGTTTGCTTTTTCGTTGCAAACAACACACAAAAAAATCGAAAGGACAATATTACAACACAAACTTGCTTCATAAAATATCTGTTGTTGCTATTGCCTCAGCTACTGCCACAAGTTGACGATAGGCCACTACACCCAATCGCCTAGTTTGTTTCATTTCACTGCAGTGCAGTTCTATGCGATCACATCCAAGTGAGACCAACAACACTAACATATTACACACATACAAACCCGAATTGATTACAACTGACTTTAAAAAACTCTCATTTGAAACTGTTCATACTTCAGTTCAGCTTCGTCTGCCTATTAATCAATCATAGCAGATCGCTCAAACAAGCGAAACACTTTAGCCAGCGCCTAATATTACTCATATTCATATTTATAGCTGTTCGAAGATGTGCGCTTTTCGAATATGAGTCTGTACGGATGAAAAATTACCTTCAGATGTTGCGACCTATAGATGTGTAGTATTGATATGGTGATTTGTAGGAGTATGTAGCAATAAATAAATAGGTACCGATAATGAGGTGGGAAGACTACATCGTCAAGTGGGAGGGTCTGTTGTGGAGAAGGAAAATAAGAGGTAGAAAAACCTGGAGAGCATTCTGCGGTCGACGCTATAACAGCTGAAGGTTCGGCCAATCAAGCAGTATCAGACAATCGATAATGATGATAATATTAACAACAGTAGTAGCTTGGGAAACAAATATATCACTGGCGATAATGTAGTGAATGGGATAAAATAAATTAAAGTGAGATAATAACAGTAGACGGAGTTGAAGTGATAGAGGTGAATAAATTGAAATAAGATGAAACAGGGGGATTGGTGAACGTTTCGGTGTGGAAACACCGACTTCAGTACCTTCCACAATGTAACACAAAACGTTGGTTAGTGATAGCTAGACAGAGTGATAGGGCATCATCATCAGTCACGTTGTTAATAACCCAGAGGTGATGAAAGCAGTGCAATTAATATAATCCTCAACATATAGTCATCAGCAATACTCAACATACAAATTCTTTCAGCTGAAGGGAACCTGTAAGGTCACTAAATAAAAGAGGCATTATATATTCTTGATCTCAAGCCTAATGTTAATGTTTGACTCGATGAAATATGTCAATATTGATTCATTGTGATAGCAGTCTATCTGATGTTGTTGGTGATTATATGTCACTAACATTTTTCTCATCATTAACATTATTCTCACTTCATTTTATCTCAACCCGTTTTCGTCATCAACGCATCTGTTTCTGAAACCACCACGCCACCATTGCTAACAATATTATCATCATTATCACTGCTTACTTATTATTAATACACACCCCTACAAATCACCATATCAATAATGTGCATCTATAGGTCGCAACAGCTGAAGGTGACTGACTCAAATACACCTGAACTGTGCGCTACCTCATCAAATAATTTCATGTTCACTCATACACTTCTATATGCTATTGCTTATGCTATATGTAACTGTATTCATTTATGAACTGCTATAATTATCTGTGTGTTGATTGGCCGATTGATTAATTCATACTGTCAACGATCAGTTGTTTATTGTACTGCTACTCATGTTCTTATCCGATACTCTACCCGTCTGTCTGTCACTCCTGCATCGCTGTAGCAATACTGTATAAGGGGAGGAGCGATATGAGTAGGAACGGAGGACGACGACCATCTAGCACTGTTACTGCTAGGATTTTCAGTATTAAAGTATTATCACTATCATTATTACAAATCATCTTATCATCATTAATTATTATTATTCGATCAATTGTTATTATTAATCGTAGTAACGATTCAATTTCTAGCATTATCAGCAGTGCACAGCATTGTGAAGCATAATAAGATCGCATGCGTACCTTCTTTTTATTCATATTCCGATTGCTTTTTTTAGTTCTTTAATTTTTAGACCTTGAAACAGTGAAAATAATTGTTTTCTTTGGTATCGATACTTTTTCACTTGGAAATCGCTCAAAAAACGGAATGAACGAGCTATGAGAATTAAAGTGATGGGGAAGCGAGCTCTAAGAACCAACTGAATGAATGAGTGAATAAAGAACGTACTAACAGCAAAGAACAATTCAGTGAGGAAAAAACGACCTTAAGAACGACTAATTGACATGAGATTTAGGCTGTTTGCGTTGTGTTTGATTTATAACAACGTTCATGCGCATTTTTCAGTCTTGTTTGAATATGCACATCAATAACGATGCCGTCTGTTTCTTTGTTGTTACTCTTGGCGGAATTTGACTTTGATGTCGAATCAAAATCCGAAATGTTCAAACATGCACGCTATAAGCCGAGAAGATATTAAACTGCTGTGTTGTGTACGTGTCTAATCAACAATGTTATGATCATGCCGCTCACACTTCAAACCAATAAACGCATACACACAGTATCAGAGCTAAACTTTGAGGTTGCTGTTTTTTGTGCGGATAGTAGTGCAGCGATAGTTGTTTGTGAATGATTTATGAGCAAGTTTGATGGTAGATTGATGGGTAGATAGGCAGGTAGATGGAGCGTGTTCATATTCGTAGAACAAAGCGCATCTGAACTTGAAATAATCTCTGGAAAATGCTTCATCTCGCTGCCATGTTTTTTTTTGCTTTGTTTTTTTTTTTGCTTGCCCTTGTTTCGCATTCACTTTTCCAACAGTCATTTTCTTCCTGTGTTAAGTGTTTCATTCATTCATTTTCTTCTTCGAATCGAAAGTTGTAACTTTCACCAAACGACCCGACCGCACACGAAGAACAAGCAGTACACCTCCTTGCCTTTGCAAGCCTACATTCACCGGAATTGTCCTCAAATTTAATCCTCATAAAACAATAGCATTTAGAAGTTTCTTGCCGATAAATTATGCCTCAGAGTTGTTGTCCGCATAAAATAGTGTTCCTGTTCTTGAAAATAAACCTTTATGTCAAACCTTATGTGCTCTAATTTCTTCTTTTTTTTCAGTGTTCGCCATACTCGTATCTGCAAAACAATACGTCGGTGAGTTTCCTTGTTTTTCTTTCCTTTTCATCGGGTCTAATGTGTAACAACAATAATGTTAATGGTACCAATAACAACATTTCTAGTACCATCAATAGCAAGTAATCGTAATAATATATCTGGCATGTACCACCCTAACATGAATCATTTATCAATATACTACGTCATTTAACATGAGTTGCTTGCGTGCTTCAATGATGACAACAAACTAATTAACTCTTACTTATTGCAATAAGCTGTATACTATCATTTATTGGACCGCCTTATGTGTTTCAATATTATCAATTATTAGATGATGATACATGTGAAGAATTGAGTGAATAAATAAGTAGTTGGATTGCTAGTTGCGTTATTCGTATTGTATATTAGCATTCATAAGGCTAATATAATAATAGTAATAATAATAATAATAATATATTAATAACAACAATAATAATATTGTTCGTGGTATGCGAGTGGTGATTGCAAATATTCTTAAACGAATATTGCATGAACTGTGTGTCTAATCATCCATCTGTCTTTCCATTTGTATTACGTGCTCAGCATGAATACTAGCTGAGTGACACATTGCAAGTGTGCAGTTGATGAAAGCCATTGCTTTGATGCAACTAGGATGGTTATATATATAATGTTATGCATACACAATAAGCGTTGATCGTCTTGCTGCACAATGAGCTAGCTCATCATTGTCGTTAAGAAATATTGCTCGGAATTACCTCGTCGACATTCTTGTTTCAATTCATAAAACTATAATGAAGCAGTATAAGCAGCTCTTCTAGTAAACATAATATACAGCTGAAGTTATTCTCTAACAAGTACTCGTTATCATATGAAACTTACGCATGGCAATAAGCTGAAATGGAAGTTTGAGATTTAATTGACACGTATGTGTTGCTTGGTGTAGGTTTTCTAGATAGTAGTTTATTTTTAGCTGTACTCTTAGCAAAGCTTGGCTTAGCCAAGCATTTGTCAGTTATATTTGTGGTCGATTTAGTGTAATTTGATATGAATACACAATGAAAGTCTAACAATGCTCTCGAACATTTTCTTTTTTCTCAGTTTTCATTTTGTTTTCCTGTGCTCCAATCTCTTTCGAAATGAAATTCCATTCCACTGTTTTGCTCAGAAAATAAATGCATGAATTTATGAAATATTGCATGCTTAGAATAGTTGTTGATTCTCTGAGAAAGCTGCGCAATTTAACAGAATTGTTTGAAATAATTTGACTGATTTATTCAAATTTCAAACTAAAACAGACAGACAACTAACTAACTGTTTAAGGCTTTCCAATACAATGCTGGGTGCCGGCCACATTCACGGAACCGATGGAACAGTATACAGAGAATTACTGCTGGGTTCAGAACACATATTTTCTGCCATTACATGATTATATTCCTCATAATTACGCGGAACGAGAAAACAGACAAATCGGATATTATCAATGGGTGCCTTTTGTGCTTGCACTCGAAGCATTACTCTTTTATGTGCCAACAATTGTTTGGAGGTTACTGAGTTGGCAGTCGGGTGAATTTTTTTCATTTGGAAGTCGTTATCATTTGTGTTATTATTAATGACTTGAAGAATATGGCATTGCTTAGTAATCCTTCTTTAGCCATTGTTTATTGATCTTGTTGTCGTTGAAAAGCGTGAAGCCTTCGGCATTAGTCAAGGGATTAAATTGTGAAGCGAATTACACCAAAACTATTACGTGCATACATTCTGAATGTATGTGTATAAGTGAAGGCATCGTTTACACGAAAAGGGAGAGTGTTATTAACGAGTTAGAGATATCTCTATTAGTATATTACATATAACGTATTTTCTTGAATAATTCTCTTCAGAATTAATCTTATCCCCGCTTTGCAAAGGTTCCATTCGTTGCCTTATATAGCTGAGAAATTTTACGTATATCCTCGGAGTTTTAATTAAGAAAATATGGTATGCGTATGAATAGATGTGTTTGTATGAATGAATAAGAACAAAAGTGAACAATTTTAAGGAATTCACGTGCAATCACTTGTACAAATGGCGTGTGATTCAAGGTTATTGGATCTGGATTCCAGAAATAGGGCATTACAGACAATAGCAACAAATGTTGAAGAAGCGCTTCATGTAAAACATCAAGTGGTATGCCTCATTTAGACAAAATATCCTTCTTTATTGTGCCCTCAGATCAGATATGGTCTCGTCGTTTATCTTCTTTATTGTGCTGTTATACCGTGTGATTTCGTTTTTGAAATTGTGCTGTCCGGAAATTACTGAAGCGAATAAATAAATCAATTGCTTTAATTTACTTTTTGATGAGTGAATGTACACTTAAGAATTTTTCGTATATTTACATATTTAATGCATGAGGTTCGACGATAAATTCGAAAATGTTTGATCGGCGTCAAAATAAATCTAGTATATTCGATGAGATTTATGAAAATTGGCTGGTATTTCCAATTATAATATCTTCTGTGATCACATCATTTTTGTCTGCCAGTAGTATGTAAAAAGGGCAAAAAAAATCAACCAAAAAAGAATCTCACCAAGAAATGCTGTCATTTGTCTGTTTTCATTGCAGATGGGTGGTAATCGTTTGAAGTTACTGAATTTGATAATTTGTACAAGAAGTAGTGGTGCTGCCGTAACATTTTTGTACATTTCGGTGAAAATCCTCTACACTGTCAATATTGTTGGACAGATCTTTCTGCTGAACACTTTTCTTGGCAATCGAAGTAAATGGTATGGATTGCAGGTTGGTGTCCTTTTTTGTTTCCTTTTTCACTCATATTCCATCTATCAGAATAAAATTTTACAAAGTTATTTGATACTTTCACCTCTTCAGCATATATCACGAATCATTTATGGTCGTCATCTGTGGCGTGAATGATTAATAAATGAATACTGTTATTAATTGTGCTATGATTTATCATTATGGATAGACAGACTAATTGATTGATTTCGTAGGTGTTAAATGATTTGATGAATGGCCGAGAATGGGAGGAATCTGGTCACTTTCCGCGGGTAACTTTATGCGACTTCGAAGTCAAGGTTGGTAACTTAAGTTTATGAAGTGTTGTGTGATAAATGTTTTGTAACAAAGAAATTATAACACGACGATATCTGTCCTTGTGAAACAGTAGTAACAATCAATTTGATGAAAGTTATTAATATCAAACCACTTAATATCAATATAGTTCATTTTTCAATGCCTTTTCGTTTTCAAATTATGATTTCCTCACTTCTTTTCAGGTGCTAGGCAATGTTCATCGGCATACAGTGCAATGTGTGCTAATGATTAATATGTTCAACGAAAAAATTTTCCTATTTCTATGGTTTTGGTATTTTCTATTAGCTGGCGCTACACTTTGTTCTCTTTTTTATTGGATTTATATTTCGATTGTGCCGAGCAGGTAAGTATTAGACGGTGTTGAAGATGCACATGATGAGTTCATACTGTTTCTCTGAATCGCAACTTTTCTGAATCAATTAAGTTCTTCACAAATTTATCGTAACCTAATTTATGATCGATGGTTGTTGTTTGTGAAAGTTATCATGTTTGTTTTTCATCTAATGATAGTTTGAATTCATCATCGACCAAGACTGTGTGCGTATGCATTTGCTTGCTGTCTTCTGAAAATAACAATCCAATGGAATTGTAATCGTTTCTTAAAGTTGACTTGCTGAATTGAAAAACAAATATGGAATATGAGAGCGATTTTCAGTCAATTTGTGGTCAGAGATTCATTTAAATACATTCACTTTTGCTGAATGTATTATGAGAAGAATGAGAATTTAGCAATATTGAGCGGGATAAAAAGTCAACAGAAGAATAAATCATAAGAATGATGGATCGATTGTTGACAGTTGAATACTAGATAAACTACTAATTCTAATAACATCAAAATTGATAATTTAAGTTGATATTTGTTGAAAAAGTTATTCTTCTGGTCTCGTTTGTATCTTTAGTAATTAATAATTGCTTAATCGTTTTCCTATCTCGTCCATGTGCACAATTCATTAAGTTGAGAATTATTGTTTTGTTGCAATAAACCTAAACCATTGTTGCAAGTTCAGCTATAGCACCATTTAATTCATTCGTGTTGAGCATTTGTGATTTGAAATTATTGGGGAACTTTTCTGCAATGATGATGATTAAATGGATAAATAAATATTCATTAATGTATTTACAGGCAGTTGAACTTTGTTGGTAAATATTTGACTGGTATTGAAGGCTATAAAATGGTTGATAGTCAGTCGTTGAGGCGATTCGTATTTCATTTCCTTCGTCAAGATGGTGTTTTCTTATTGCGAATGGTCGCAACACATGCTGGCGAATTACCGTGTTATGAGCTAGCGAAAACATTATGGAATAAATATTGTGATAACAAAGAGGGTAAAATGCATGACGTTTAATCAACAATAGCAATAGTAATAATGGTTTGCATAAGGAAGTTATGGATGTTGCAAAGAAATGTGACAGATAGATGGATGAATGCATTGGTAACTGATGGAGAGAACGAGCGATTAACGATGTTGAATGAAGGAAGGATTTTGTATGTTGCTGATCAGCTTTGATAGTTGATGAGAAGAGAACAGTTACGATGAAGCCAGAAACGATGTAACGCGGCTTGCTATTATTGCTGGACCTCATGTGGTATGGACCTTGAGAAAACAATGACGTTTGGTCTTTCAGACAACTTGTTTAAACGTTTGACTTACTTTCTTTACGTTGTGGTGCTCGATGGCTTCAGCTAGCCAAATCAGTCTAACGGTGCATTTCAATCGATGGTTGTTGATATATGCATAAAGTATCAGATCATTCTCATTTCTTGCTGTCTCTAAACAGTTTCACGTTCCTTTCAAGTATGGTCACAATAAACAATAACGTCAGCTACTGTATTAATTATTTTATAACATAATTAATTCACCCTGCTGCGTACCCATAATAATGTACTCTTCCTTATCAACATCATTGTTATTATTATCGGTATTTATGATGATATTATTGTCGATTCATTTGATATTATGTTAACATTATTATGGCAGTTGTTGTTACTATAACCTTTTCAACCTGCCGATATGCTTTATGCGACTTCAACACCACACCAAACGATTAGTTGTGATAATATTCGTTGTTTATTAGGAAACAAGATTTATGCTGAGATAGATACTGTCATTGCGTGCAGTTGCATAGCATGCAAGGATTAAATCAGTTCTTACCATACTTTGCGGTGTTTACGAAAGATCGTTCTGGAAAACAAATCCTCGAGCACGTTACTGAGCTTGTCTGCTACTAGTGATGTCCCTGGTCCACATTTTTTGTAAGCTATTTTACCCTCTGAACTGCTCTTTTCTGTACTCTTGTTCATTTTCATTAGTTCAAATTGCTCGTTGGTATTTGCTATTTCAACATTTCAAATTTTAAAACTGTTCTGTACTGTTCTACTAAAAGGGTACAGAATAGTCTATGAACATGGAACAGGGACATGCATCACTATTCCGGACTGTAATATCGTATTAGTGTTTCATATGTGCGTTGAAAATGAGAAGTAATAGCAGAAATGAACGCATATTGTTTACGATCATTTCAATTTCTCATCTGAAACTTGCATAAAGCTAATCCTTGTGTGTTTATTCTAAGGCTCCGGGCCTCCGCTGCGATTTTATTGCTAACATTATAACTTCTTCATAAGATTACTGTCAATGTAATGTTAATATTTATTATTGTTGTTATTATTATTAATACTACTATCATCATCATTATGATTACTGTTCCTGTTAATATTAAAATTATTTTTGTTTCTTCATCTGTATTATCATAATTTCATAGATTGTTCTGATACCCACCATTGTATTTCCTAGTCTATAAAGATGCTAATCAGTGAGTCGTCAGCGTGAGACCCGGAGCGATAGTTGCGTTCACTTATCAATTTTCTCAACAATGACTTTGCCATTCGCTTTATTTAGTGTTTTCTTTTTTAACAGTTTGTGTGCTATTCATTAAGAATTGTGTTTGTGTCAGTGCATATTTAGAATATGATATCAGTTGACTGTTCCATAGCCCACGATTTGTCGTGAATAATCACCATTAGTTTTCATTACTTTCGTCAATTCAATCCTTACTTCCTGTCAACGTTTTGAAATCACTGAAACAAATCGCCATTTTTATAAACGTACAGACTGCCAGCAGCCAAATGTATACGTTGCGAATGTTGTTATGTTATTAATGTTTAAACTGTTTTCAAAAGCAGTTATTATTGTTATTTTCATCATTATCATTATCATTATTATTATTATTATTTTTTTTAATATTATTATTATCATTATTATTATTACTACTACTATTATTATTATTATTTATT